AGCATGACTGGCACCGCAAGCCTGTTAAATACTGTCAGACAAAATAGAGATTATCGGCGCCAATATAGTTTTTTGTAACACCGACAAAACTGCATTCCCAATTGAAGTCACGGTGTCACGAAAATCGTCCTTACTATGAAACAAAAACACAATCACACATAATGTCACACGATAACTCAAAAATATTTGTTATATTGCATTGGAATTTTTCCTATAGAGGTTGAGCATGACAGTTAACACAAGCATGATAAATATCGAGAGAAAACACACAGATTATCGGCGGCAATATAATTTCAGTAACACGGACAAAGCCCATCCAAAGTGAAGTCACGGCCTCCAGAAAATCGTGTGACACCTACGCCACACGATTGCTCAAAAACTAGTTATTTTATGGGATTGAAATTTTGACTGGATGTAAAGTATGACTTGCAACATTTGCCTGTTAAATATTTAGAGAAAATAATTGTGTTGTTTTGGAGTGAAACTATATCTTCTGATTGGTCATCATAGACAACACCACACTTTTTAATTTATAGAGGAGTAGTTAAAAAAAATAATATATCCCGAAAATGTAGTGCGATTTTGAGTGAACTTACTTGATGACAAAACAACAACACGCTCGGTTTCCGGAAGATAACTTAAGAAATACATGTTGCATGGAATTGAAATTTCGTAAATTGATTAAATGTTGTAAATTACAAAAATCTGTGCAAAATGGACAGGAATTGTCTAGTAATAAAAAAGAATATAGCAAATAAATGCGTTGCGTTAAAACGGAGAAAAACCTGCCTCATTAAGTCAGCTTTAATTTTCTTTCAAAAGAGGGCGCGCTTCACAAATAGAGGTCACCACCGTAAATATTGTTTTGTCAACACGAGACACCTAACTGAAGTCACTGTTCGTGACACAAAAACAACACACTCGATTTCCAAACAATAACTCAAGAAATACCCAAAGACGTTGAATATGGAGAGCAATTATTAATCCATGAAAAAAAAATAACCAAAAGAATAAGTGAGTTAAGCACGAAAAATAGAAGACGCGTTTAAGTCAACGTTCATGGAACAAAAACAAAACCTACTCGTTGTGGAGACGATAACTCAAGAAATGTTTGATGCCTTGCATTGAAGTATTCCATAGTGATTTAACGTGATATATCGATCAAATCTCTCGAATTTGGATATGAATCGTTTCTCAATAATAGAAATATAGCAAAGACAGTGTGGCGTGTAAACGCGCAAAATACAAGGCGAATCTGAGTCAACCTTCATGAAATAAAAACAATCCCCTGTTTGTGGAGACAATAACTCAAAAAAACATTGATTTATTGGAGTGAAATTATACCTCCTGATTGGACGTTCATATGTAACACAACCGGTTCGAATTTGGAGAGAAAGCATTAAAAACTTAAATTAATATACCCCAAAAATGAAGTGTGTTAAGCACGAAAACTAAATGGCGATTTCGAGTCAACTTTCATGACACAAAAACAACACACTGGGCTTCAAAAAATAACTCAGGAAATATCTGTTGCATGGAATCGACATTTCGTTAGTTGATTAAATGTGACAAATCACAAAAATCTGTTGAATTTGGAGAGGAACCGTCAAATAATAAAAGTAATGTAACGAAATCTTTTATTTCAAGTATTCATACGTACACGGGTATGTATACACGCATTTTGAAACAGTGCCCTCAATAGTCAGGTAGCGTCTAGCCCAACCCCCTCCACCCCTGCTTTTCCAACTTTCAAAGTTGATAGTTCCGCAAATATTAACAAGAGATTGCCGCTGCTGATCAGGGAGTAACTGTAGCCTTTCCACAATGTCACCCTGATTAGCGCCGGTAGTTAACCTAGTGGCGAAACAGCGAGGCGTTCGGAACGGAGACTAGACATAAGTCGAGTGAGCTGCAAGCGAGGTTTTGAAAATCCCGGCTTCATTCCAATACCGGATACAGCTCTATTGCCAAGCCGCATGCCCGAAGGCGGTTTACAGAACGAAGCCGGAGTTTGGGAAACCCCGGTATGTCTCATGACCTCGGTGACTTTCGGTCGTTTTGTAAACATAGGCTTCGTGCCCGGTTCGGAACAAAGCCATGTAAGGCCCCTAATCAGACAAGTGGCTTTGTCATTTACTTGTATGGTATGGTCCCACTGGTATGGGGGAGGGGAGGGGGAAGGGGGGCATGTGGTCGTTCAAGCTATCCCACCCACCCCCATCGTCGCTACGTCATTGCTTCAGAGATTATTATAAATCGAGGTGGTTCGCAATACAGAATGGCAAACTCTGGTGTGATTTGTCCGGATATCACCAGGGCTAGTTCAGGGTGAATCGTACGCGTTATGCGCGGAGGCCACAAACTAGCAAATGTAGGAAATCTGGTCGTTCCATACAAGCCTTTCTCATTGATATGGGGGATCTTAAATCACTTTATATATGCTATTTTGAAACTGTGTCATTACTTTAGGTAGTGAGCGTTTGCTTTTTAGGTCCATCATCACCGGTCATACATTCTAACATTTCTGGAAATGATTATTCGAACTGGGAGATATTCAAGTGTAAAAACCTTTTCCACATTTAGAAGGCCACGATTGTACACGGGCCGTATATGATGCGTAAAGTTCATGGAAGTTTATTTAACTGTATTTTATTTCCTCAAAGTCCCAATCAAGGAGCAAAGCCTACCTCAGGGGCATAACTACGGGGACACGGGGCATATACCCCCACCCCCTGTGGAAGCCGGCCCCAGCCCTCCCCCGCCCCATTTTGAAAACCTGAATTAAAACATTAACTGTTGTAATAATACGTTTATTTTGCATTTATTGCAGCCTTTGAAAAAAATAACGCACCCCAGGTGCCCTACCCAAAGTAAAACAAAGTTTCTCCGCTGGCTTGAGTACTTTAATTCCTCATACAATCCAAAATTTATCCACACAATTTAATAGACTGAAGCGGCAACTGTACATTGAATGAATCACGGCCGGTGTATACGTCACTTGTCTATCCACCAATCACAGTTTGTCGGTGACAAGTCGGTGACGACAAGTCGGTGACCACAAGTGAGTGGTCTGTGACTGACAGGTTGTGTGTGTCAATCATAAATTCCATGTTTGGATGTGTCACCGACGTTCATACAATATCCACCAATAAGAAGCGGTCATTTGGTCGGTGACAAGTTTTTTTATGGTGACTTTATAGCCTCAGCGACATTAACATTGCTTTCGTATCATTAATATGAAGCGAGTCGGTGATGTGTGATCGACAGCGCACAGGAGCCATGCAATCACAATCCAGGTCCGAGTTTTTAGTCACTGCTCAGGAAATCGATGGCACTATTTAAGACACGTGGGGCCGTCCACCCTTCACATCAACCGCGGGTCATCAACACCTTTGGACGACAACCAGAGAGAGAACTGACTGCAAGAACAAGATTTTGCTCGGTGAGTGTTTGAAACAATCATTTTTCCTCTGAAGAAATGTGTTGTTTTGCACAATGTGTTTGAATCAATGCGGGATTCAGATTTTGTTGAATGTTGCTGTTTCAATGATTCTCCAAACAGCGAGCGCGGTGGTAGGCTTGATATTTTCCCGTCTTTGTGTGCTTGTGAAAATGTGGTAGCTTGAGGACTGGAAAAAACCCAAGATCTTTATGAACAAATTGTTCTTTTTCATTTCACTATGACTCTGATACACGTCTGCTAACAGCAAAACCAGCGCGCTAATTCCGATCCAGAAGTTGTACCTTTTCCCAACGACCACTTTGGAGTTGATAAAGTATCGCGATAATTTACAAATGTGTTTGAAATGAACTTGTTCAGACGGGCTTTGTTTGTGCATAACATGCACTAATCAAAGCCCGTCTGAAAGAGTTAATTTCAAACACTTTTGTAAATTATCGAGCTATTTTATTTCAGCTCTTAATGTAAACAGTTGGTGCGGATGCAGACCACGGTTTTGTGAGGTCAAATTAAAGGCAATATAAATGAGGAATTCCTGTCTGGCAATATTTCTACTACTTCCATTGTGCACTCTCATAAACAAATTGTCCAAATACTTACTGGTTTCTTTACTTCTTGATCAAAAATCATTTGGATTCTTGTCGATATGGATAATACACTACGAAGTCACATTTATGGACTTTTTTTTATTTAGGTTCGACTGTTAGGTTGGACTGTTTTCTGACCGCAGTTTTTCGCAAGTATAAAACATGAAGTTCCCTGCTGTGATTCAGAACAGAAAGATGTATTGATCATTCAAAATAATATTTCAGAGGAACTACAAATCGGTGTTTCACATTTTCGGTTTAAAAAAAGGCTTGCAAACCTGGACTCTTTATAACCTGGCCAATATTTTTAGCACGGTCAAGCACACTCCTATTTTTTGCCTCCTTTTTTCCTATTGACTTTATCGTTTAAATTTTCAAACATGAAATCCTAGTGCAATGTACTCACATTATTTCCGGATATCACTCAAACTCAATCAGAATGAAAAGTTATGCGGAAGTTGGTCACGGAAGAACGTATACAGGTATCCGGACATCTCAAAATGCCGGTCTTATTTGTGTTATTATTTGTGGATATTCTCAGTGCCTTTGAACTCTGTTGTTCAACTGGCATTTTGCTATAGTTCACAGTGCGCCATTCCGGTTTCATCAAGTTACTTTTAAGCATTGCAGGATAAAAGTGTCACTGGTCAGAATAGACTAGAGGGCGCAAATACAAACGCACTGGATCATGATGATGCACACAGTTTTATACAAGTTCAATAGCTGGATGCATTTTGTAGAATTCATGGATAGATTTGATTTTTTGGAGAACGCATTTGAGATAAATAGTCAACCCAAATTACATTTTCACTGTACAGACATTTTTTGGCCGTATTGTACTTGCGGAATTCAGCCATGCCTCCCCACCAGACTCCAAGTTATCTCCAAGAGGATTTTTAATGACTCATATTTTTGTTGGTATTTTTTCAGCCAGCAATCCGCTCAAGTGTTGAAGAGTGCTTCTGCGAGAGAATTCAAGAACTGTGCTTAGGTGAGTGTCTGTTATTTGACATTTTTTTCATTCAAGCATCAGAATTGAGCAGCAATTTGGTAGGAGATGATATCATTTTTTCTGTGCATTTCATCTTTTTGGTCAAATTTAAAAACAAGAAAACGTCATTCCACATTGTTTTGCCAAACGTTCCTCAACGTAGCTTTTCGATCGTTCCCTTTTTGTTCATAGTGTTTGAATCAACATGTGGTTTAATTCTGAAGTTTATTGCTAAAAAAATGTCAAACAACGTGAGCGGTAGAAGCTAGATATTTCTCCGCTGTTTCTGAGTTTCTGTGTTAATCGCGTCAACGCAGCTTGTGAAATATTTTTCAGTAAGATTAGTCTCCTTAATTATCCCTTCTCAAAATATCCTCGTGGCCATGATGTGAGTCTCCTCAATCATCCCTTCTTAACAAAAATCATCTGAGCCATGTTGGTTAGTGTCCTCAATTATCCCCTCTAAAAATATCCTCCTAGCCATGATTGTTAGTCTCCTCAATTGTCCCTTCTTAACAAAAATCCTCCTAGCCATCTTGTTTTGTCTCCTCAATTATCCCCTCTAAAAATATCCTCCTTGTCATGATGGTTAGTCTCCTCAAATATCTCTTCTGAAAAACATTCTCTTAGCCATGATTGTTAGTCTCCTAAATTATCCCCTCTAAAAATATTTCCTCCTTGCCATGATGGTAAGTCTCCTCAATTAGCACATCTAAAAAAATAGCCATGATGGTTTGTCTCTTCAATAATTCCTTCTTTAAAAATAACATCCAAGCCATGATGGTTAGTTTACTCAATTATCCTTCTGTAAAATATCGTCCTTGCCATGATCGTTAGTCTCCTCAATTATCACATCTAAAAAAATATCCTCCAAACCATGATGGTTAGTCTCCTTTTAACTCTTCTCAAACTACACTCCTTGCCATAATTATCCCTTCTTAAAAATATCCTCCTAGCCAAGATGGTTAGTCTCCTCAATTATCCCCTCTAAAAATATATTCTCTTAGCCAAGATGGTTAGTCTCCTCCCATCTAAAAAAATATCCTCCTTGCCATGATGGTTAGTCTTCTCAATTATCCCATCTAAAAATATCCTCCTTGCCATGATGGTTTGTCTCTTCAAATTGCCCTTCTTAAAATATCCTCCTATACATGATAGTTAGTCTCAATTGCCTCGTCTTAAAAACAATATCCTCCTTGCCATGATGGTAAGTCTCCTAAATTAACCCTTCTGAAAAATATCCTCCTTTCCATGATGGTTAGTCTCCTCAATTAGCACATCTAAAAAATAGCCAAGATGGTTTGTCTCTTCAATAATTTTGTCTTCAAAAATAATATCCAAGCCATGATGGTTAGTTTACTCAAATATCATTTTAAAAAATATTGTCTATGCCATAATGATTAGTCTCATCAATTATCACATCGGAAAGATATCCTCCTTGCCATGATGGTTAGTCTTCTCAATTATCACATCTAAAAATATCCTCTGAGCCATGATGGATTGTCTCTTCAATAATAACTTCTTCAAAAATATCCTCCTAGCCATGATGGTTAGTCCCCTTTTAACCCTTCTAAAAATATCCTCCTTGCCATAATTATCCCTTCTTAACAATTATCTTCCTAGCCATGATGGTTTGTCTCTTCAATTATCATCTCTAAAAATATCCTATTAGCAATGATGGGTCTTCTCAATTATCCCTTCTGAAAAATATCCTTCGTGCCATGATGGTTAGTCTCCTCAATTAGCAACATCTAAATAATAGCCATGATGGTTTGTCTCTTCCATAATTCCTTCTTCCAAAAATAATATCCAAGCCATAATGGTTAGCCTACTCAATTATCTCTTCTAAAAAGATATTCTCCTTGTTACGAAAACTATTTCGTAACATGTTGACCGGAAATGCTTATAATTTTATGTATGATGACGTCATGATGACGCCACCAAAATGTCCCCCTTTTCGCACAAAGGTTCACGTACTTACCAGTTTTCATCATTTTTCCTTGAACCGTTTCGAAGAAATTATGTTTGTTTTGCATTGTGGTTTCTTTTTGTATTTTGCATTTACCTTTAATTTAATCGGTAGTCCCGGAAGAAATTAAAGGTCAAATGACTTCGTTTTCGAAAATCAGAAATGTTTATCAAGGTATCATCTATCAGATTACAAAGTGTAAACAGGATTGTTCGTTTTGTCCATGGGTTTTTGCATTGAAATCGTTTGTAACTTGATGCCTGATGATGACGTCATCATGACGTCAGATACTCACCTCGGAATCAGGGTTAGTGTTTGTTCAAGGATTCCAGTTTATACCATGTACCGTTGAGAAGAAAAGTCGCGGAGAATTATTGCCTGGAAAAAAAGCAAGGAAGGAAGAAAAAAGGAAAGAAAGGGATACAATAATTCTTGCCAGTTCAGAACCGTGATCGGGTCGTACACGATCACACAAAATATCGGAGTTTTGTTGCTGGGAATAAAGAATTTCTGTCTGACAACATTTCCGCTACTACTTCCATTGTGCACTCTCAAAACTTAGTTCAGGTTCGACTGGAAGTCTTGTAATCAATTTTTGGCTGCATTTTCTTTTTTTAAGAATTCATTACATCAAGTTTTCTGTTGTGATTCAGAATAGTTGAAATGTATCGTGATTCGTACTTATTCAAAAAAATCACTCACTTTAATTATAATTTTTCAGATGAACTACAAATGGGTGTTTTAACATTTTAATTCGAAAAAAAAACAATATTGCCAAATTTCGTCTCTTTATAAGCTGGCCAATAATACATGTACAATAAACTAGCTTCTTGTTCTCTGCCTCGTTTTGAACTGTTTACTTTATCATTTTAATTTTCAAACATTATATCCTGGTGCAATGTACTCACACTTTTTCCGGCAATGAGAGTCTTCTGGACAATTTTTTGACATGAGATCGATTAATTAAAGCAGAATCTGTATGCTCCTTTTGACTCCTGCAACTTCAAATTCGATGATGTTGAACAATTAAGAGGAACATAGGATCTTTTGCCCTTGGTGTGTTTTTTTCGTTAAAAGCAATAAAATTGATCAAAATCTGAAGTATATGCAATTTCAGCGCATTCTATACTTTTGAGAAAAGAGAAAACGCAGTTTTGAAGGTTTGCGGTAACACCATGTGAATAATATCTCTTTTGAGTTGTGTGGTTCTGAGAAGAACCAGTTGTTTGAACTCGACGTGTCGACAGTGTGCTTTGTTCGTCATCAGGAGACTTTCATGTGACGTGTTCATTTATGTGACATGGCCCACGATGGGACTACGAGAAGTCATCCATCATCGAGCATTCCCACAGCGAAGACCACACCATCAACTGGCAACAAGCACAGCTCATCACCAGCAACCAACAGTGGCACCCTCGGCGAGTCCGGGAGGCCATGGAGATCTACAAACACAACACAGATCCACAAGACATAGGGTACCACCTCCATGATGGCGACCACTCCTTCATCGTAGGTCCAATGGGTCTTTTATACCCACGGGCCTAACCAATCTCCATAGTTCGACCCCCGCATTAGTTCTGCCTGTGGGTCCCCTAAACCCTTGGCACTCGTTCTGCACCCCTTGATGTTCATTCTAGCTGTACCACCATCATTCTGACTTGCTTCATTGAGTGCACACAGTCCACTTTAGCATTCTACCTGGCAACTTTTAGCATCCTCTTCCAGAATCTCCCACCTTAACGGTCCACTGAACTACCCCCCCCCTCCCCCGGGTGCTACTTAAACATCTACACCAGCAAGAGTCCGGCAGTTTCCTGATGACGAACTGATTCTTCTCAGAACCACACAACTCAAAATTATTCACACGGTGTTACCGCAAACCTTATATTCTTTTTCATGTCCACCATGCAAACATACAAGTCTCATTTAAGAGTAAACGTATGCACAACTGGATGTCGTTGCTTACACACGCAAAAGAGTGTGCCAGCCGGCACACTATTTTGAAAACAGCAAAGCCTTCATTTTACTTATTTTATTTTACGCTTAATCAGGCGGAATAATTTTACAGGTTGTTTGAAACCAGTTCTATTGTGAAGTACACTTTCTGTACATTTGCAAATGATCTTAACTAATTTTAACTTGTTTTACTATTGATGTTTCTCAAAAAAACAACAACACCGCCCGTGCGTGAGTCTAGTCAGGGCCGTTGATGAACGAATTCCTACCGGAATAAATAATCAATCCAAATCACATTTCACCCGACAGAGATTTTTTGCGGCGTTTTACTGATACAATTCAGCTATGCCTCCCCCACCATCCCCCAAGTTATCTCCCATCTGATTTTCAGTGACTCGTTTTCGTTGGTATTATTTTCAGCCAGCAAACTGCTCGAGTGCTGAGGATTCCTTTCGTGAGAGAATTCAAGAACGTTACATTCAGGTGAGTATCTGCTATTTGACATATCCTCACACAACTGTCAGAATTGAGCGTTTATTTAATGGCAGACTTTATCTTTTTGTGTGCATCGATAAACGTTGTTGTCAAAACTGTAACAGAAAACGTTCTCGAAGGACATTTATCATTAATATAGGTTTTCCGATCGAATTTTTCAAATGTGCATTCAAAATCAATTTCCTTTATTCAAAGTAAGGATGCATACCCCTTGCTATTCAAAATAGATTTGTTTCTCTTACGATTTGTCCATGTGTATATGTGTTTTGTTTATTAAGGTAAAAACAACTACTTTGATCCGATTTTGGGCGTCTGCATGCCAAAGGAATTTTCATTTTTGCGCTCAGTTGAACCCGCCCTGCGAGAAGCGAATTATTGTCTGGCAGCCAATAATTTAAAGTTTGTGAAGCAATAATTCAGTAACTAAACTTTGGTGGATTTTTTCCGTTCCATTATTAATTCAAAAAGTAAATATATGATATTTTTTAGAAAAATAGCAATTGAAATCAAATTGTGGAGGTGAAACTCGAAAATAGTACGGGAAACTGCATCTTTAAAGCAATGTTGATAATACAGACACTCAAACCGTTGCTAGACATGCCATTTTTGTATAGCAACACCATCAATTTAGATTTTATTCTCAGACAATCAGATTCCTCGTCAAATTCACGAGGGTGCCTCGAACTAATGGCGAAACACGCTAAGTTTAATTTGTCATTTTGTTTTATCTATTCACAATTAGTTTCGCAAAAGTTAAAAAGATAACTTAATGAAAATAAGTATTGATTGCATCAATTGCTAGTTATTGTTTAAGCGGATTAGTTAGCATGTATATAATGTTATATTCTTAATCATGTTGTCATGTTTTACTAAATTGTGTCTGCAATTACCGTTCTAATTCTTTGTTGTGCGTTGATCACGTTGTTATTCGTTTGTGATTGTTTATAACGTCAGTGAATCATAATTGATTTCCCATCCAATTTCGCAACTTACTCATGAAGTCGCAATGTTTACTCTTCAAATGGTCGCAGTTAGAGCGTTCGATTTTTTTTGATCTTTACAACAACAAAAGGCATGTGGACAGCATTTTTCGTGCAAAAAAAAATAATCATTCCATTTTTTATTGGAGTTTTCACCGAGTAGGCGTATTTGTTATAGAGGAAGTATTCATTTTCAGCGAAAGTGCAGTAAAATCAGGGGTCAACTTAATTTGGCATTAGCGATTCGCCAAACGTCAATCGCATTGGCGTTAAGAAAGAATATTTAATAATTCGCTCTTTTTATTTCCACAGAGTGATTACAACAATAAACAAACTGCTCACTTCGGTTTACATAAACAAATCTGTCTTTTGAATGCTCAGAATGTATTTTCTTCTATCACTTTGATACCTTACATTTTTCAACTTCTGTTTTGAAATTTGTTAGGCTTTCAATATTTTCTTCGAAATAGCTATAAATTCCTTTATCAAACTTTTTCAAAAGCCATGTCATTAATTTTAAACTGTTTTGCAACACTATAACACAACATCTTAAGCAACTTATGTCATTGAACACGTGCTACTTTTACAAACGTACGCATCAAATTGAATTCTCGAGCGGGACTGAAATCCAAAGCGCAAGAAATTCAAGGCACAAGTCACGTTTTGATGCCTACTTTTTTACTCGTGCATGAAAATACTCTGAACAATTGCGAACTTTCGCTAAATTCAACCGGGTGTTCAAAACGCTTGCCCATTTTTTTAAATATTGAATGAGCAAGGTGTGACATTGAAATTTGAATGACTTACTACTGCGTCATAAGTAGATGCAGGCGATTTGAATAAACGTTTCAATAGAAATATTGGACTAATTTCAAGCATCGGTCAATGTCGTGAGAAATCCAACAATGTGCCATAAAAACAATTTGTGCCATCCAAATTAAATGAGAAAAAAACTTTGGATTTTATTTAAATTGAATAATAAATTATTTCTTACTAAAGTATAAAAGGTAATCAGTGTTCCTTCGTATGTTTTTTTCAGCCTTTACTGAACTCCTTGTGATCTCTTCTTGGACCTGATCTTCAAGAACGAACCATCGAGGTGGGTGTGGTGATGTTTAATTAATCTATCTGGACCGGGGAAGGGCAGAAATTTGCTCCGCCTCCCCCCCCCCCCAATACTACAGCTCCAGTGCGCTTCACCCTATCCGCATGCAATTTGGTGACCTTTATTAAACAATTCAATGGGTTGCCATGCCAACCAATTATAAAAATTAGGCTTTTCATCAATGTTAATTCCAGCCCCCTGATACGCCACTGTTATCACGAAGAACACATTCTGAATAGTGATTTCTTCAATCTTATTTTTTTTTTACTTCAAATCAATTGTCATGAGTTTTTAGACTATAATTCTGCAGTTTATCCGACATCAATATTTTTCTCGGGAAAAAAGGTTGCAACCTGACGCCACTTCCGCGATTGTGTACAAAGTTTATGGAGGATCAAGACAATTTTCTAAGTATTTCCTAACAAAAATGGAAATGTTTCTTAGTCCCAGATTCATGTCTTATCATCATTTTTGCAATGAATGACCTTCATTGAGATGATATAATGTAGAAAAAAAGTGGCGTCAGGTTGCAATATTTTTTTCCTTTTTCTCTACTCGTCGCAATTTTTTTACTATTTTATTTAAAAGAAATTCTCACCTTATTTGTTTCAGTTTAATCGTTGTTATTCTATACAGAATGAATATCTGCGTGGCAACCGTTCTTTCAATCGCCCTCCTTCTGGGTAAGTCCGTCAACCTCCGAGCTTCCGTTACTGGGCCGGTTGCCTCGGACGGTGATGGTCCTGCGTCTCAGGCGTGTCCGATGTGCTGCCAGGGGTCGGCTGCAATTCCCGGCATACCAGGTCTGCCTGGGTCCTTAGGTCAACCAGGGTCAAAGGGCGAGCCAGGTCAAAAGGGTGATATTGGACAGAGTGGACCTATGGGTGAGCGTGGAGCAGCTGGGCCTCAAGGGGACGAAGGCATAGGCCAGCCCGGAAAAATTGGTCCAAGAGGAGTCCCAGGTGTTGTAGGGCCAACGGGGGAAACTGGTGTCAAAGGTCAAAAGGGTGAGCCAGGGGAGACACCAGACGACTCCAACCAGCGGGTAGCATTCACCTTGGTGAGGACGAGCGCCTCGGATGCCTCTACGAGTCACGACACCCGTTTGCCCTTCCAGGCGACCGAGACGCTTCTGCCGGGTACCAGCTTCGATCTCGAGACCGGCACGTTCACGTGTGGTGTGCCGGGCACCTACGTGTTCATGTTTTCTGTGAACAAATATCCTTCCAGCAGCTACCTGCACGTTCATCTCCGGAAGAACGGCGACGCGGTTGTCACTGGCTGGAGCAATGATTCAAGTCAGTATGAGCAGGTGTCTGGGAGCGCGGTGGTGGTTCTGCAGCGTGGAGATATGATGTATCTCACCATGCACGGTAGGGCGTATAGTGATTCCACTCACAGGACCTCATTCAGTGGCTTCCTCCTTTACCCCGAATAAACACAATCCAACACATAAAGATACACGAGCATCGTGTTGCTGATTTTTTTTAATCGCTTTCCATTTTGCCGAAACATTAACTAATGAATTAAAACAAATAATGTTCAATGACAATGTCACACAATATTATTATTAATGTTTTCGCATTGCGCATGCGCCGATCTGTATACTACAATGGATTTGCCATTTTTTTTTTTGACTTTTTGCAAAACAAAATATTTAGCTTAATGCATGAGTATTGGGATATAGTGAAAAGTATGCGTTAAGTTTTTTGACAATGATTTTTTTGTACCCATTGTAGGCCTATCTAGAAGTATTTTGATGGAATATTTTTTTCAAAGCAAGCTGGGTCATCATTTTTTTTAGAAACAAAAGGTTTGCAATAAAGCAGTGCCACCATGTATCCAGAAGTGTTAACAACTATACAAAAAAATTGTGTTGATGGTGTTATCTCGACCAACCTGGATTTTTTTAGGCCATGTTTTTGACCGCCATTTTTTTTTATTGCCACACTTGGTCAACATATAAAATAACATGTCTTTTTTCCCGAAAATAAATGCAACTTGTTTGTAGTAGTGGGTATTTAAAACAGATTAATTAAACACAATAACTGTATCCTAAACTAAACAAAGTATAAAAGACATACAGAAAAACAAACAAAATATTTTGCTACCTACCTGGATAATTTTAGGGTTTTTACTGTAACATGTTATTTTCTTCGCCTTATGTTCCCTGTATGCCCAGCACAGATAATGTCAATTAAATCAATCCCATGCATGTATCAATTTTTATTTCATGTCAGGAAAAAAGTAGACTCCTGCAAGAAATCAAAGAAAAAGTTTTAATGGACCCATCCTGCATGTCAATCAACAGTGCACATTGGCCAATCAGATCACCACTTTTGATCAGGTGACCACAGTAGCTCAGTCAGACTGGGTCACAAGCACTGTTAGATCTATTGCTCACCCCGCCCCCATTTTTTGCACCAGCGGTTAACACCCCCCTCCCCCCCGCGAGTATTAATTCTGTAAAGAGTGCCCTTTTTACACAAGTAACTTTTTAGTTTTTACACAAGTGTCCTTAGTTTTGTTTAAAAAGTGTCTTGTTTCGCCAGCGGCTTTTAAAGAATTTTTGGTATTTCGTGTAAACGTCAGCAATTGTGCCGCCATGAAAAGCGCCACCCATTGACCTACCGCCGCTTGCGAGTTAACCACGCCCCTTAGACAACTCTATAAGCCATTTCGCCGATACCGCCATCTTTGAATTATTTTTTTCTGGGGGGGGGGGGAATTACAATAAAAATACGTCTCATCATGCAACTGTAGCTGAGAATGATGGGATGTCTTTTCATTGTAATGCCCCCCCCCCCCCCATTTCAAAGATGGTAGTATCCGCGAAACGGCTCATGGAATTTTGTACGTTAATTTTTGTTTCTCTCAGATTTTGGCGTCCGCGTCCATTTGTA